TGCTGGGGGATGTTCTGTATGCTCTGAAAGTGTTGATCTGATTGGTTAATACATAAAATGCTGATTGGCCAGTAACCAGGCAGGAAGTATAGGCAGGAAAAAGAGAAAAAGAGAAGAGGAAGGCTGAGTGAGGGAGATGTGAACAGAATCTATGTTGAGAAGCAACATGTAATGATACTGTTAAGTCACGAGTCACATGACAATTTTTAAATTAATCTAAATGAGTTAATTTGAGATATAAGAGCAGGAAAGAAGAAGCCTGAGCGATTAGGACATACAGCTTGTAAATAATATAAATCTGTGTGTTTGCTTTGTTCTGAGTGCCATGGGATCTGGGAAGGAATAGTTTAACTTCAGCTACATCTACCTCTGAGGACTTACAGTCCTTAAAAACTATTACAGGCTTTTGTAAATGTTGTCATAAGAAAGAATACAGTTCCACATTTTGGAGCCAAACTTTTCACTCCAACAAGGGTAGACAGTACCTTCCAAGGCCTGAATGGCAGCACAATTTTACCCATATGCCCAGAGTCAGACCAATTAAATGTCTCCTCATTGTTAGGGACTCATTTTTGATTTGTGTAGAGATACTTCTTGGTTATACTAAGTGCCCTCAGATAATCATTGACCTCCTTCCCCAGGATATGGGATTCCTGCATTTCTTCAGTCTGATATTAGTCTGGAGTTCACATTCCAGACTTTCCAGACCATATCAAAAGCTTTTAATAAACCTTGGCATTTTCATATCCTTTACATTCATAAGTCCTCAGGGAACGTAGAGTATACCAATAGTCTTTAAAACACACTCTTATTAAGATGCCTCCAGAAATTCACCCTGAATTGTTAAAATCATTAATTCTAGCTCTTTTCAGGCCCTGGAAACTTCCCAAGAATACCCTTTCAATCCCACCATTTGAACTCCTGTATGGGTGATTAGCTCTAACCACTGGCCTCTGATCCAAACTTTTACCTCTCCCTGATCACCTCCTCACTCCTCTACTCCATAACCTCTGCTGCCTTGTGTGGAATTTTGGGTACTACTCCTTACACCAGCCATGTGATAATCCTTGCCCAACCCTCTATCCACTTTTGGGATCAGGTCCTTCTTTCCCCTCCAGTCCAGGAAACCTCACCCCTTTACACCAAATGGAAGGTACCCTTCAAGGTACTTCTGGTAACCCCCCACAGGTGCTAAACTTGAGGGCTTTCCACACTGGATACATCTCCACATCCTGAAACAGTTTGTCCTGCCCTCACCCAAGGCAAATTCTTCCTCATGCATAGTGAAAAAAACAGGGCCCCCGGTCTCTTTAGTCCAGAGGACATTGAGATTAATGCCTTGTCACCAATTCTAAAAGAATATGGTTTGCTCACACAACATTCAATCCCACTGATGTGAACAACCATATATTTTTCTTCTTCCTGATTCCCTCTTCATGTTCTCCTATCCCTACTGACATGTTCTGCTTCATCAGTATCACTCTGTTGACTCTAATACCATATTCAAATTTCTAATTAACTACCCAGCTAATTGTTACAAGACCAACATCAGCCATAGATCCGGAGGCACAAGAAATATTAAAATATATCCAAAATATACTGGTAATAAACCCTAATTAGACCAGACGTATAAATACATCATTGTCAAAAGGGTCTTCACTTTGTAAAAACAAACATTAATATAACAATCTATCATTGTCAAATTCCCTCAGAAAGTTATCACCTATGTCTCCTCAACACTAAAATAACAAAGGAAACAGGTGCCTTAAATTTTGGCTCAGGAGAAGATAAAAATACCTAACTGATAATGGTAAAAAAATATAAAGCATGATCCACATTTCTTTCTCTCCTTCTCCTTTTTCTGCTGTGGACATTGTTCTGTATAAATAAAATGCTGAATGGCCAGTAGCCAGGCAGGAAGTATAGGCAGGATGGGCAGAGAAGAGCATTCTGGGAACAGGAAGGCTGAGGCAAGAAACACAGCCAGTAGCCAGGAGGAGAAGCATGATGTAAGATATGGTAAGCCACAAGCCACATGGCAAACTATAGAGTAATATCAATGGTAATTTAAGATATAAGATCAGATAGCAAGAAGCCTGTCGTGGCCATACAGTTTATATGCAATATGAGTCTCTGTGTGTTTACTTGATTGTGTCTGAGCAGCTGCAGGAATGGCAGGTGGGAGAGATTTGTCCTGACAGTGGGTCAGGCAAGACCGGAAAAACTCTAGCTCCATTCTCCATTCTCCATTCTCCATTCTCCATTCTCTCTCTCTCTCTATGTCTCTCTCTCTCTGTCTCTGTCTCTCTCTCTCTTTCTCTCTCTGTCTCTCTCTCTGTCTCTCTCTCTGTCTGTCTCTCTGTCTCTGTCTCTGTCTTTGTCTCTCTCTTTCTCTGTCTCTTTCTCTTTCATTTTCTAACCCTAACCAATAAAATTCTGATAGCTGCAGAGTACTAAACATTATAAGATCAGGGCTCACAGATCAAGATTTTAAATTCCTTTTGGTTGCTTCATAATATGATTAACCTTTGTATTATTGGTAAACTTGACACTTCTTCCAAGCTCTACAGCCTGCTTGGATCCACCACATTCCACATCCCCTCCAGATAAGTATCATTCAAACTTTACTGGTCATAGGATGTAACTCCCTCTTCCTTGGAAACCCAGAAAGATATTTTTTTTTCAACTTCTTCTTCTGCCATTTAAGGAGCTTGTCAATTTCACAGGGCCCTAACCAGGAGAAAATATTCAGCTACCTCTGATTGTCCAGCTACCTCTTGCAGAGCCCCATTCACTACACCCAAAATTACTTAATCCCCAACAAGTCAGCTGGAAGCAATTCTGTGTGGCAAAGAACCCCCATTCCCATCTATCTGCAACCCTTAACCCCCTATGGTTTTCCTATATCTACAAGTGTAGTAGGAATGTTTCAATTCCTAGCCACCCCCTAACTAAATAACCATGCATGCAATGTCCATCAGTCAGGCAGCATCCTCAATCATCCCAGATCCTTGCATCCTATGTAATCCCTGTGCTAGATGAACATGGAATATGCTTGCAGCTTGATCAAGTAAATTATGTGCATGTGGACAGAGCTGCATAAGAG